CTCCTGTTGTGTTTTGAGTTGCTCACGACGTTGTTGAACGACGTGGGAAGCTCGTCGTTTTCTTGCCAGACACTGAATACGGACTGCAGCCTCGCCCTGTTAAAATATTATTAATATATTATTATGATATATTTATGATTTTCCACATAATAATTATATATATATATGCATACCTCCTGTTGTGTTTTGAGTTGCTCACGACGTTGTTGAACGACGTGGGAAGCCCGTCGTTTTCTTGCCAGACACTGAATACGGACTGCAGCTTCGCCCTGTTATATATTATATATTAATATATTTCATGATATTCGACATAATATGTATATATATATATTCATACCTCCTGTTGTGTTTTGAGTTGCTCACGACGTTGTTGAACGACGTGGGAAGCCCTTCTTTTTCTTGCCAGACACTGAATACGGACTGCAGCTTCGCCCTGTTAAAATATTATTAATATATTATTATGATATATTTATGATTTTCCACATAATAATTATATATATATATGCATACCTCCTGTTGTGTTTTGAGTTGCTCACGACGTTGTTGAACGACGTGGGAAGCTCGTCGTTTTCTTGCCAGACACTGAATACGGACTGCAGCCTCGCCCTGTTAAAATATTATTAATATATTATTATGATATATTTATGATTTTCCACATAATAAATAAATATATATATATCCATACCTCCTGTTGTGTTTTGAGTTGCTCACGACGTTGTTGAATGACGTGGGAACCTCGTCGTTGTCTTGCCAGACACTGAATCCGCACGGCCGCAGTATCCGCCTTCTGAAAAATAGATAATATTCCTTCGTGAATTATCTATTCATATATTCATTTATTTATTCGTATCATACCTGGAGGCGTCGGTTGTGTTGAAGCTGGCACACTCGATTCCGAGCCAGTTTCTGCCGCGTGAGGCACTGAATAAGCACGGCGGCGTCGTGTTCTCGCTGGAGTTTTTCACTGGACTTTTTCGGGTGATCTGATTGGACGTTGCTTAGCAACGCCTCCAAGTCGTGCACTTGGGCATTGGAGAGGCGCCGGCGGGAAGCAGATTTGATGCCGTGCTATATCATAATATATTCATCGTTGAATGATATGGTGCATGATGCCATCAAAACTACTAAACTCTTATATAATCGAAATACAGTAGTACTAGTGTCCAAGACGACATCATACTCGGTTCAGATGAGATCCGATACAGTGACCAACTAACCCAGTCCTTTAACAGTTAACAAACATGTTTCACAGTTCACCGAAACGTTGAACAGCTAACATACTAGTATAGCTACAGTAACAGTTAATAAACATGTTTAGCAGTTACTATAGTTGTTTAACAGTTAACATAGTCGTGTAATAGTTACCATAGTCCTTTAACAATTAACACAATCGTTTATCCTTACCAGGGCGTGGGCTTCGATGGTTTTCCAGTCAGATTCAACGTCCACAACGTAATTAGCTTGCATTTCCACCAACGACCGATGGTGATGCAAGGATGCTACGGATGCTCCTTGGGCCGACTTTTTGCGCTGTTTCAGTGGCTATATCATAACTCCCTTTAGTAAATAATATATATATTAAAAGATATTTGTTGGAATTGTAGTATACCTGTAGGACCGACACGTGGTTAACTATGTTGTTAGTTGTTTGTCTGGTAGAACGAAGCTTTTGAACTCGATCCCGCGACTGTTTTTGCCTTGTGGCGCATTGAATTCGCACCACCGCGCGGTTTATTTCATCATTCGACCGACGAAGTGGACGCGGTGGTGGGCTCTACATGGATGAAAAACGGGGTTTAAAACGGAATTTTGGAATTTAAAACGGATTCTGGGGCGTTTAAAACGGAATTTTGGAATTTAAAACGGTTTTTTTCAAGGGTTTCAAACAAGGAGCATCGGGTGGTTCACAGTACCCGCGGGGTGGCCAACGCGTCCCACAACTCGGTTTCGTCGTCGGGGGTCGTACTCGTCGGTCCGCTAGTAGTAGTAGTACAACTACTAGTATTACTAGGAGCCATGACGTGGTCGAGTTGGTTCAAAATGAGCTGGCACAGCTCGATCCATGCGCGAGCTACGATTAAAACAAACGTTAAAATAAACATGAAAAAAGGTCCAAAATGCATGAAAAATGGTCCAAAATGCACGAAAAAGTGGTCCAAATCATCCAAAAAGACACCAAAAATCGGCACTTATACCTTGAATACACTGGCTAGCGGGGTCGCCAAACAAGTCGTGAATCTCGTGGGCGGTCATCGTTGCTTGCGTTTCTGTAGAACTTTGCGGCTCGAATAGCTTTAAATGAAGTGTCATAGTGGGCGTTTCTGACGAACCCAAGGCGAACGTCACAAAGTACGTCAAGCCGTGATAGCTCCAGGTGCCACGGTATACCACGCGCCCTTCGTCGGCAGAATCCGATTCTACGTGTAATATTTCCAAATATTAGAATATATATTATATTTAAAAATGTAAATTATTAGTACCATGCACGACCAACACGTCTGGATGACTTTCGTCGTCTAAATACGACATCAAGTCCAACTGATCTCGCATTTCCACCATCGATGGGTCATGCAAAGAGCAACTTGTCTTCCCAGGCGAGACCTACAGACAATTGCAAGTATATAAATATATATATATATATCTAAATAATCAAATGATACTTTTTATCGTTTAAAGTGGAATATATAATAGTATATATATACCATGTCCAGGACCCACGCACACAAGACGGCAGCCGGTTTTGAAATCGACAGCAACGAATGCGGTCGAAACTTGTCGTTCGATAGAAACGGCTTGAGCGCCTACAAATAGTTTATAATATATATATATATATATATATATATATAATATACCCGCAATTTGAACTTGGCCACGGGCGGTCCCGTGGACATGGTGTGCAATGATCTTAGCAACTCCCGACCGTTGGTTAGAATCGTACGGGACGTTGTCCAACTCACGTCCTTGGGCACCAAATCTCCCGGTGTCACTAGTATCAAGATGGTGGCCTATATACATAAATATATATATAATATTACATATATTATATATATTATATATATATATTTTTTTACCGCAATCAACGCCACCACTTGGTGCGGGGTTGTGTCGATACTGCCAAGCGCTTCCAGCTCATAGTTGGACACGCTCATGCCTTGAACAGTCAGCACCGTTGGAGGGATTTTCTTTGGCTTCTTGTTTAATAGTTTGGAGAGGTGTCGCTTGGTAGGTTGTGTGGCCTATTGGAAATAATATAATATATATATATCTGTTGAGATTCGAAATAGTTTGTAGTACCGCTGCTGGTTTGGGTTTCATGTGGTGCGCTTTGGGTTCTGCAGTTACCCTGGGCTTGACATTGGCGTATTTGGCATTCGTGGCAGATGCAACAGGTAAGCGAGGGCCTAATACAATTAGTATATATTATATATCAAACCTGGTGTTTCAAGCCCAAATGCAACTATATATATATATACACCCAGGATATAAACGAATGCCTTTTTACTCTACATATTCTTCAACCAAACAACATATTATCGTTTCAGGCAAAATTTGGACTTTTGTGCTGATTTGCCAAATCCATCGATCGATTTTTTGTACTAAATTTTGTTTGTATTTTTTTTCTAGCGATGATCACACTAATAAGAGGCACACACGAATTTGTTGTTGATTGGTTGAACTGATGATATCCTGTGGATCTGATTGGCTGTTGATACATTCGGCATGTTGCTCCAGTTTTGAATAAACACTACTACAATATTGCTATAATAAGCACATCTGTGTATTATGCTTTCGAGTGAAATTTCATTGTGTTGTGGCGTGGTTTCTCGTTGGAATTTAAATCGATTTGATTGGCTACCTCAGATGAGCTCAAAATTATTAGCCAATCAAAACGTTCTCAATGAAATTCAACAACCAATCAGATCAATTGTGGATCAGTTTGGTCGGCGCGATTCGATTGTACCCCCTCCCCAAATTTGTACTATCAAATGGACAATAGGTTGGAAATAAATTTACTGACCCAAAATGATATCGTTGTGATCACTTGAGATTTATGATGTGGTCGATTCTACTACTGTAAAACACTTCGATACGTCACCACTACATATATGTACATCCCCATACAAAATTACTCGCATGCTGAAGCTATTAAAATATATCATTCCTTGTGCATACATCAGATCTCCCATCTATCTCCATCGAAACAATGTCACAAACCCCACATGTCCATAAACGAAGTATCCACACCATAACGTTAGTATCTGTTGTTGTGAGACATTATTCTACAAGAATCGACAGACGTATTTAGCCAATCACATTCCAGGAAACCGTCGTTGAAGTAAGGTGTGACTAACATTTGTAACACGACAATTCTGTTCAAAATAATATAAAAAGAATAATATCAATAACAAAAATATGAAAGTCAAACGATATATATTTATTTACCTGCAGGTGGTTGCACTCGAGTGTGAGTATTGGGATCGCGAACGTGATGGATAAGTTCGTTTAGAGTTTCCGGAGCTGCCAGACTTAAGCTGGGGAGGTGGCCTTTTCGCTTCATGAGTGGAGATGAGTCCATCAACTGCACACCCGCAGACGATTCCATGGGCATACTCAGCAGCTTAAGCTGCATTTCCGCCCTGGCTTGCCATTCCAGGACATGGTGGTGTCGGGTACTATGGTCGGTCGTACCAGCCTAATCATACACAACAAGAATTTTTATTTTTATTATTTTAGTTTCGACTCAATTCACAGTCGAAACTGGGCATCCAAGTCAATCAAATCACGTATTCGGGTGATTGCTATAAAATGGATAGATACTAGATTCAATACGGGCAAATGCGATTGGCTACGAATTGACTCCAAAGCCCAATTTCGGGTGAAAACGTCCATATTTCATTCAAAACAATGGATGTGGAGTAGTACCATAGTAGTACTCGTGACTTGGTTAGTACTACTACTAGTAGTAGTAGTAGATGGGAACTCTTCCAAGTGAATGCAACTCCAGATCAAAAACGCATCTGCTTCCGCCACGGCCACCACTGCTGTTGTTGCTTCGGATGATGTCGAGTCCGATGTCGACTACAAAATAATATATCTCAAATATTAAAAAAATCAAAAGTAGTTGTGTTCGTAAATGTATATATATATATATATTGCATATTACATTTACCGGTATATTCACTACGGGGGGAGCGATCATATATCGAAACGGTTCCAAGTCTCGGTCGGAAATAGAAGTCGGCATCATAAACGGGTTTCGCTTCATTGAGTGAGAAGCCACGCCCAAAGCTTCCGCCATCTCATGGACATCGCCAAGGAAGTTTAAGTCGTCCAACATGCGATGGAGGTAGCTGTGGCCGTTCCAAATATATGGACGAGGCACGGACAACGACTAGCCATCAAAATATATACATTACATATATATTATATTATATACATTATATATATATGTATTTATATTATGTACATTATATATATATTTATTTATATTATGTACATTATATATATATTTATTTATATTATGTACATTATATATATATTTATAATATATATTATATACCCGAAACCCCGAAACCCCGAAATAATGGCTGGTGATATGAATACAACTGAAGGCATAGTATACACATGCATTATACAGAATATGAGATTTGATCATTCATAACCCTCATACGACAGAAGCATTAGTGACGAATGTCGGAATATATACTTTAGAATGAATATGTACTTGATATCACTCTATACAAATGTATATATATATATAAATGGCAATACAAAATCTCGCCTATTATGACATTCGATCGCATAGGGTGTATTATTGCACATAGACAAATATATTTTTGGAGTCATTCAATTTGACAAAAGTCCATATAGTAATGTTCAAGTAAACATATTTTTAACAGAAATCGAGTGTTCTATTCAGTATATAATGAGGTATTTTGGATATAACAATAGTACCTGGAACCACCGCACCATAGCTTCTATCACTGCCAAGGACGAGTCTCGGGTTTGCAGTAGCAGCGTTAAGACTGAGTTTCCATCACAAGATAAAACCGAGTGATCTCCAAGTCTTATCTGGTGCATCGTGCCTTTGAGTTTTGAGACCAGACCTTCCCGGATCAAGATGGCTTTCATGATACGAATTTCATCTTGTGGGTCGCTATAGCCATCGTTATATATATATAATCTCTTGTTTCCACCAGGTAGAATTGAAATATATAAATATATTTATAATCTCTTGTTTCCACCAGGTAGAATTGAAATATATATATATATAACATACGACAATGGTTGCGGTTGGTGGCAGTTGAAAGCTTCCTGCAGATGGTTCAACGTCGAATCGTGGTGATTACGCCATACATCGGCGTCCGTGACTTGGCTTGAACTGGCGCTGGCTTGTAGAAGCTATCAATAAATATATATTATCCAATCACATATATATATATGGAAAATATTACCTGTTTGTGCCGGTGGAGCTCTTTGAGCTTGTGCTGGGTATACGACAACGTGTCTTTAAAGTCCGATGCGAGGCTAACGAGGCCGTATTCTGCCGGGAACGATGTGTTCCATCCAAACTCGCGCTTTTGGGTTTTGTTGAGCTTGAACCTGGGCTTGGGAGCCTTGGACTTGAGTGCCGTCGGCCGCAACGTCCGCGGGTCTTTGAGTGTTTGCCACCCCATCTCCTCCCTTGTCAATGCTGCTCCCATGTGTCCACGATGAGATGCTTCATCATGAGCATGTAGATATCGTAGAGGGTTACCATGGAAGGGTTGCGTCACGGGCGGCCGCGCCGGCACCTTGTGCACGATGCTTTCGTAGCTCGTCGCGCGCTGCAATGCTGCATTTCTGCCCACAGACACACGTGGAGGAGATGCCGTCGGGGGAGACAGATGCTGCTGCTTGTGGATCGGACGGTACGGGTAGTTGAGCGCCGTCGACGTCGCTGCCGACGCCATCGGCCGTATTTATAGACACTTGGAAAAGGCGGTAACTGACTGTAACCGGATTTTCATTTTCAAATCCAATAAATGAATTTTCATTTAGTTTGGATTCCTGAAATCAACATGGCTTTCATAAGGCGCCCAATCCATGGCCTTGGCACCAAGCAATCTCCGGTAGAATCTTCCTACTAAGCTTATTACATGTAACGTTATCAATCGATACACATCGTAAGGAATTCGGGGGAATCGGCAGAGAGATAGCATATGGATGGATAGGACGAACCTAAAATACAAAACAGCACTTAACGGTCACAATTTCTCAATATAGGTCGTTTTTCGTTTCGACCAGCGGCCTTTCTTGGTTGTCGATATTTGTCCCCAAAATGTGGGAAAGTCCCATCGGGTTTGTCCCATGAGGTTAGGTTTTCAACCAATCCAGTGTTGTTCATCCGAATTAAACGCATTTCATTGGCTTATTTCAACGAATCAAAACCTATATGGGAAAAAACATGGGAAGTATCCGCACCCGCACCGCGCTTACGATGTGATTGATGGCGCAACAACCAATCTGTCCACCGCCAGTCCATGCCGCCGACACCATCAACGAACAAGGTACCCGCTGCAAAGATGGTTAGGGGAGGAAGAGCAAAGTCCATCTCCATGCACGATGATGCGAAGGACTTTACGCCGACCCAAACAGGGTTCACCTCCATCCTTCCTGCACCCTCGTCAAAAGCAGACCCGGCGCCGCTTCTGGAAGAATCATACAAGAGCTTCCGTCTCAACTGCCTTCAACTGATCGACTCGCGACGTTTTCACTACCTCGTGATGCTCGTGCTGTTTGTCGACTTCTTCGGGAACTGCGTCGCGGTGAGTTTCACATCGACCGACAACTTTGTCAAGTACGGCGGCACGGCGCGGCTATTCTCGTCCGTGTTCACGGGACTGTACGCCATGGACATGCTTCTTCGCGTGATGTCCCTCCGCGGTGGCATCCTTCGCAACGCGGCGAGTACAGGGGACGTCGTCGCTCTCGTGTGCGCGACCGTCGCGCTCGGCGGAAGGTACACATACGAATGTGGGTGTACTTTCTCTTCATTTATCATGATAGATTTTGGAAAGCAGACAACGTCAAGAACGTCGTGATCACCGAGGGAGATTGGGTAGATAAGTATAAGCTCGAACACAAGTACATTTCGAACCAAATCGAGCAGTATGTGACCGCCGTCTACTGCTTCTTCGTCGCCATCCGCATCGTGCTCAAGCCCCCCGCCCGCACTTTCTCCAAGAAGCTTCACAAGTATGCCAACCACGACAACCTTCGCATCTCCATGGCGAGTCTCCGCACGTCCATCCGCCGCATCCCTGGCATCACCGCGGTACTTCTATGGACCTTGTTTTAATTCTCATATATATATATATATATATATATATTGTACGTTTCTCATATATATTGGCGTTTCAGTCAAATTGGCCTATTTTCGGGATTGATGAAATCGCCAACTCGAATCAAGCAATCGAGTATGATTGGCTATAAAGAATGAACGTTGCAATTTGATTGGCTAAAAAGATTGATTGTAGGATTGCAGTCACAAATGAGTCCCCTTGTTATGATAGTGATATTGAGCAATTTTACCCAAATTTTGGACTTTTGTGCGGATTCGCCAAAACTCGATCGATTTGTATGTCAAAAGGTGTCCTGTGGTGATTGGTAACACACTAATTGAAGTCACACACTAATTGGACGTTGATGGTGGTTTCCTGCAATCTGATTGGATCAATCCTTCTGCCGATTCTTCGGTGATATTTGGATGTGTCGATTCGTTATTCTCCAGTTTAGAATAAACACTGTTCATTCATTTTAGCTAATGATATGGCAATTTCCATACTTTTTATCCAATCACACTGCTTTGCTCAATTTCTGGGTACTTTTAACAAACCCACAACCAACTGGCAACGTTGGACGACACACCCACCAAAAATGAAAACAAAGATATATATATATATTCGTTGATGCAGTCTATTCATATCTTGTTGTTTTCTAGGTGGCGGTGGAAACCATGGAGTTTGATTTGACAATTGTATGTGGACGGGACGAGGGCGACATGAGTCGGGAAGAACTGATGCAATTCCTGCAGAAAGCGCTGCTGTACCGCCCCAAGGACCTCAGCGCCAATGCTTTCCTCGCGCATCTGCGAGATATTGACGCCCAGAGTGCGCATACTGTCTATGGGGCTTACGATGTGGTCAAGTCGACGTTTCGCCACTGGTAGATATATTTCTATATATATATATGGAAGGATTCATGGAATATTAGGTCGAATCAAAAACTAGACTTGGCGTTGACCATGGTCGTGGTGGTCGTATTCGCATGTGTGACGCCTGCACTGGCATACTTTCTCAGCGTGATCACCGACCAAGCGTTTCCTAGAAGTGTTTACAGTACTGCGATCCCGGGTACTTATATATATATATATATTTATATATATTTCATGGTGTATGGTTTAAAGTAGTTTTTAGTGGTAGTGAGTGATATGGTTCGTGGTGATATGATTGTTTGTAGTGCTGACGTGGTTGTATCTGTTTTGAAAATGCATGTACGTACTATAACATCACATCGTGAGGTGTGGCCTACCATCCGTAGAAATGGATATTTTTTTTTTTTTTTTCATTTCTATTTTTACCACATTCATATATATATATATATTTGGTAAAAATTCATTCATATATTGACGAATCGGTACAAATTTCTACCCCCCGTCGAATCAAATCACGAATCGACGCGATTGGCTCATCCATTTTTTGAGTGGATTTGATTGGCCCTTACAAAAAGAACGATTATATTTCAACCAATCAGTTTTCCAGCGTTTGGATTTGTAAACCCGCGAGTATATTTTGAAAACATTATATTGTGCTTTTCACTGAACTTTGGACTTCGCAGTCGAAACTTCAAAGCGATTTCGAATGTATTTTCCATGTTTTCCTCGACTGATTTTACCCAATCCGAAGCGACAGGGCACGAGACTGGTAAAATCTCTGGAATGGAGTGATGTGATTGGCTTAAGACATTCATAATCTCTTTGTTTAGGCTATTCGATTCGCCTCCCCAGTCCAATTTAGTGTTGAATACACAATACCGAATCATTTCACTATACACGGGAGAGAGCCCTATGTTGTGAAGATTTTGTGTTGATTTTATATCCTCCATGTTATGATTCCTACACCACCGTGGTGTTAACTGTCATATGTTATGGATACTTTTCTATACGTTAGATTATGTGGAATCGAACGGGATGCTGAAAATGTTTACGCGCATCACGTACAAGAACGAAACCAAAGACGAAAACCAGAAGATCCAGTACCTCCCATTTGTACCAGAGAAGTCGCTCTGGACGGGCATCGCGGCCGTCGTGGGGGTTTCCGTGCCGTTTATCGTATGCGATTACGCCATGGGTATATATATATATATATATATATTGTTCTTTCAGCCATATAATCACAAGTTTGGATGGATCCGCCGAATCCATAGATCTATTATGAGTACTGAATTATATAGAGTATCGCCCTTCATATGAATTTCATTCACATACTTATATTGTTGATATTTGATTGGCTTTATTTATTTTGATTCGTGTTGTGGGTGTTTTGACTAAAGCTTCGATGGATTGTCCTCGGCTACTCTTTCGATAGTGAGCTCCAACTTTAATTTCGAATCGACTATTATATATATATATATATTATATTTATATATTTATTTGTAGGCTACTTTCAATCCAAGATGATTTCCAAGGCAACGCAACGGCTGCAGCAAAGTTTGCTTCGTGTGATATTACACAAACCGACCAAGTTCTTTCAAGAACGTAACGACGGCGACTTGAACAATCTGTTTCAGTCGGATATTGCCCGCGTGAACGCCATGTGGCAAGCTGTGTTTTGGGTAACTATATATATATATATATTTAATAATACATACACATATATATATATTTAATAATGCATACATATATATAAATATTTAATAATACATACATATATATTGAATGATATATATATATATTGAATAATATATATATTTGATATAGAACCTGATGCAACCGGTGGTATCGATCGTGATTGGGTTTGGGTACTTGGTGTATTTTGAACCAATCATTGGCATCATGTCATTTTCGTATGCGGCGATTCTCATCACGTCGGGACCCCAAGGACTCGCAAGTGAAAAATCGCAACAATTTGGCAAAAAAAATGCATTTGTTGGCGCCGAGTTTCAAAACACAATTGCGTGCCAAAAGGTAAATATCTCGATATATTTATATATATATTATTTATATATATATATATAGGTGGTTCGAGCATATGAAATGCAACTCCCGTTGCAGACCAAGTTTGCCGCATCCATTCGAGTACTTCGTGTGGCGCAATTCGCCAAAGACTTTTGGAGTGGAATTGTCCAAATTTACATTGAAAGCGCCATGTTTATCTTTGTGTCGGTCATGACAGCATGTCTGGCCATCAAGGTACTATATATTTTTATATATATATTATTATTATACATATATATATATATATATATTATTATATATATATTATTATATATATATTATTATATATATATTATTATATATATATTATTATATATATATATGTATATGGATATGTAGGTGTACCATGGAAATATCACCGCGGGCGACTTCTTTTCCAGTGTGACACTGTTGGGTCGAGTGTCCACGCCTGTGACAGTTTTGGGTGGGTTTATGCGCGTAGCGATCGGCAACGCCAGCAGTTTACAACGCCTTGACGAGCTCGTGGTGGGGGTAAGCAATCTCTATTTGAAATATATATATATTATATAATGAGAATTCGTAGGCAGAACATATTATTGACGTGGAGGAAAGCGAGGATGCCAAGATGCCGACATTGCCGCGCATGCGGAAAGCTCTGACGCTGTCGCACGTTTCGTTTTCGTACTCCAACAATGACGACAACATCCCAGTCTTGAACGACATTAGCGCAGTGTTCAAGCAGGTACGGCTTCCAGTAGATATATATATAGCATTATTTGCTTATATATACATATATTACATATTGTGTATATAGTTATCTATATATATGTGATATTATATATACGTATATAATATTATTTATATTTTATCTATCTATATAATATTATATCTATATGTATATATAATATTATTTGGTTTTTATATATAGATCTATATTAGGGCGAGTATGTGTGTGTGGTGGGGCCCAGTGGGTGTGGCAAAAGTACGCTATTGAGCTGTCTGATGCAATTTCAAGATATCAATGCGGGTACAATTACTATGGACGGGATGGACGTGAAGATGTATTCCAAAGCCAGCTACATGCACCAAACCGCCGTGGTATTTCAAAACGGCGGCATTCTCAACGGCACCATCCTCGACAACATTCGGTACATATTTATAATATATATACATATATATATAATATTTTCGAATAGATACGGCCGCGTGAGTTCGTCGGATGAGGACTGCATAGAAGCAGCCAATGCAGCGGAATGCGATGGGTTTATCCGACTGCTCAAAGACGGATACAATACGATCTTGGGTCAGCATGGAACGGTCCACTTGAGCGGCGGCCAGGTGCAGCGAGTGTGTCTCGCACGGGCGTTGGTCCGTAAACCGAGGTACTGATATATATATATTATATATATAAATGTGATGGTATCATGTTTTTTGTTTGTCTTAGAATTATTGGCAATTCCTTTGGTTGCAAAACACAAGATGTATATATATATATATATGAACCTTTATACTTTTGAGCCAATCATCACCATACTGCATATTTGAAATTGTTGGCGATTTCAAGACTCGCCTAAACTATTGGCAATTCCTTTGGTTGCAAAACACAAGATGTATATATATATATATATGAAAGATGATGAGAATACAATAATATATTGTGAATTTCACCCGAATTTGGACTTGAGAGTTATTTCGCCAACTTTTCATAGCTTTCGAATCCATTTGATCGTATTGAATCTTACTTGTACACATTATAATAGCATACAACGGTGTGCAAAACCACATATATATATGTGGTTTTGCCCAATGCGGATGGGTCAAACGTTTGGATTGGCAGAAATTCGACTTGACGTGATTTGATTGGCGGTTCTTTAATCGATTCCTCTGCTGAGAATACTCCACTTTTGATATAATATTGTAGTTTACTGCTCTTGGACGAAGCAACCAGTGCTCTGGACTTTGAAACCGAAGCCCATATTGTAACGACGCTGGAAAAGCTGGCGCGGACGTGTCATGTGACGGTGGTGAGTGTGACCCACCGCCTCGCCACCACGCGCGGCGCCGACCTCATTCTCGTCATGCATCGCGGCGCGATTGTCGAGTCTGGCACGTTTTCCCAGGTATTCCCACGATGGCTTGAAATATATATATTTATATATTTGAGTTCGAAATAGAATCATTGCATACTCGTCATAAAGATATTGAAATCAAATATCCGTTGCAATGTGGACCTTCGACCATCGAATGAATGTAACAAATCGATATCTGAGTGATGGAGTATGCCTTGGCCAATCAATGGTCACGAACGTGAAATTTCAACCAATCATCGATGAGTATAATTTGTCGCTTCAAATGTAGATACATTGCATGAGTTTAAAATCTGACTCAAATTCAATTCAAATATCACCGAAATGGACAATATGTGTCGTTTTGAGTAGAATATAAGATCAACGTACATACGATTTGGAATCCAGCTAACGCTAATAGTAGTACCTCGTCCGACAGTATTTTTGTTGTTGATCTTTGATATAGAAAATGTGCATATCATGACATATATATAATCTCAAATCCAACAAGTGGACTATTTAAATAAATTATTATTTCTAAAAAACAATTCCATCGTGTTGACACATTCAATAAAAATAATATATTTATATATTTGCGTGTTGTTCTATTTGACGAAAATTAATTTTTGACACTGGCGATTATAAATAGCTCATGCACGAACCCAAGTCTCTGTTTGCCGACATGATGCAGCATTGCGTGGACAGCACCAGTTCTGATGATACCTCAGAGGAAATCCCTCTGTTGGAGAATGTACATTCCATGCACATGGTGGATCGCGCCAACTTCATCGACGACACCCATCGCGCACTCACAGACTTTCAGCAAGCTTTGGATCTTCGTGTGGTAAGTATATATATATATATTGTCGATTTGATACAAATTTGGGGAGGCGGTGCAATCGAATCTTTGCGCCGACCAAACCGATCCACAATCGATCTGATTGGTTGTTGAATTTCATTGAGAAGGTTTTGATTGGTTAATAATTTTGAGCTCATCTGAAGTAGCCAATCAAATCGATTTAAATTCCAACGAGAAACCACTTTACCACAATGAAATTTCACTCGAAAGCACAATATATATATAGTCTATTTTTTACCCAAAATGTGGCTGCTTTTGGGCTGATTCTCTGCCAACTCTATCGATCGATTCTTTGTCCTGACTTTTGTATTTAACGTCGTCAAAGTGTGGATTTGATTGGCCACTTGTTTAGTGTTGTGGGTTTTGATTGGTCGATTATTCTGCTCATATTCGATTGAGCATCCAATCACGAATCGACTTGACAATATATATATATATATATATAGGATCGAGGAATAACGTTGATATATATGTGTGTGTATTGCTAGGACGACCATGGAGAAGTGTCGAGTGCGTGGAAGACGCGCCTGCGCAGTGCGTCGCGTGGGCCGACGAATAACACGCTTCTGCAGACCACATTATCCGCAAGGCACTCGGAAGACGACGGCATGAACGACCAAGATAGCTTCTTTGTCATGTAGTACACAGTAGTAGGTAGATAGATGCATGCAAAACGATAACAGACACATCCTCACCCAAGGCAACGTCGCGCATGACTTCGGTGTAGATTTCAACGTACGACACTTGTAAGAGGAAGTCTCAATCGGTGGACTGTTGGATGTAGCTCAAGATGTGTCCGACGGCGAGGGGAAGGATGCCCCGTTCCGTGGGCACGCCGCCGTGCAGTACATGGCAAGATGCAGGAGGAAACACCATCATGGTTGTCCAATTGGTCCGAAGTTCGCTTGCACAGGTCCCTGTCTGTCGGTTGTACTGCGTACATCGGCATCGTCTGCTGGGTAGAAGCCCGACGGCGGCGGCGCCATCTTGACACTTCAGCTTCGATGCATAGACAACACTTTGGTCGAATCGGATTGGCTAAAAAGAATCGATTGCCCAGCGTTTTTAATTCGTGGGTTCTGGAATAAAGCACTTTGATTGGCTTAAATACACATCTTATTCTCTCGGATACATTGGGTGACTTATGCGTATACAAACCCTAAGTGACATTTGCGAAACCGAAGCGCCGTGGAAGGATGAAGCCTCGGCAGACGCGGCAGAAGTCCTCGATGGAGAACAGCAACTCTGCGACGCCTCAGGCAACCGAGTATGCGACGATGCAGGAGTCTTCTCGACCTGCTGTCGTGGCATCCTCGGCGCCGCAGAATGCGCCGCCTGGTCGCGGCAAGAGCGCCCGCCTGGGGTGTCTTCAGTTCATCGACTCGCGGCAATGGCATTACTTCTTCATGCTGCTGCTGTTCCTGGACTTTTTCGGCAACTGCATCGCAGTGAGCTTTACGTCCTCGGAGAACTTCTACAAGTACGGTCCGAAGACTCGCGTGGCGTCCATCGGGTTCGGCGGCGTGTACGTGGTCGACATGTTCCTTCGCCTCGTGTCCCTTCGCACGGGGCTATTCCGCAACGCCGCCAGCGTCGGGGACTTGCTCGCATTGGTGCTCCTCCTCGTCGCCTTGGCTGGACGGTACGACTGCTCCATCTTGATGAGTCTGGCCTTTCTCATGACAGCGCACGTAGCATTTGGAAAGCCGACGACCTGACTAATGTCAAGATTACGATGGGCGGGTGGACCAACAACTACATGATCGCCCACGAGTACAATTCGAACCAGATCGAGATGTACATCGACGCTGTCTACTGCTTCTTCGTCGCCATCCGCATCGTGCTCAAGCCCCGCGCCCGCACTTTCTCCAAGAAGCTTCACAAGTACGCCAACCACGATCATCTGCGCATCTCCATGGCGAGTCTGCGCACGTCCATCCGCCGCATCCCCGGCATCACCGCGGTACGATGTCCATCATTCTTCATCAAGCTTGACAATTGCATCGGTGTGATATACATGTGTTTCAAATACATATTATCCACGTTTGAAACACTTTTGAAATGACTGGTTATCCCTGCATTTGGACGCTTTATCCCGTTTGAAATGGAGATTCTAAATGCGTTTTAAATGTCGTTCGATGTTTGGAACAAGGGTTCTAAATGCGTTTTAAATCTATAAGGTGGATTTCAAATACGTTCGATTTAACGTTCAACACGTTAGTTTGGACAGTGTAGGCTGGGATCTATCTATATACCTTGTAGATTTATGTATTTTAAATGGTGAATCTGGATTATTGTATATATTTTTATTTCATATGTATAAATTCAAACACATTGTGAACTGATTTCTCGTTCTCGCCTTCTTTCAGGCGGCGGTAGACATGATGGAGACGGATCTGGCCATCATCTGCGGCCGCAACCAAGGCGATATGACTCGGGAAGAACTGATGCAATTCCTGCAGAAAGCGCTTCTGTACCGCCCCAAAGACCTCAGCGCCAATGCTTTCCTCGCGCATCTGCGAGATATTGACGCCATGGCCTCGTATGCTGTCTATGGAGCTTATGATGTGGTCAAGTCGACGTTTCGCCATTGGTAGATATATATATATATATATTTATTTATTTATTTATATATATATATATGGAATTATTAGGTCGAATCAACGCCTGGACCTAACCCTCACGACGTTCGTGGTGATTGTGTTTGCGTGCATCACGCCCTTGTTGGCGTTTTTCCTCAAAATTGTCACCGATCAGGCTTTCCCCAAGTACGTGTACTCGGTCGAAAACTTGGAAATGCAACCGGGTACGATATATATATATATAGCTATGGATTGCTCCATATATTTCAAATTAATGTTCCTTGTGTTATCAAATTGATACTTCACGTATACATATCTCATATGGTTTTACTCTGTATATGTATATATTGAATTGTTTATTTTACTCCATATATATCTAAGGATTGCTCTATATTATATAGATATATCTTTCCAATGATGACTCCGTATATATATGTTTCAAACCAGTGCTTCGTAGGTATCCTATTAGTTTTCTCCATTTATATATGTATATATATTGTATCATTCCTTGATTTGTCTGTCAACGTCATTCGTCCGTTCGATATAGAATATCGAACAACACTCTTAAACTCTATGGCTATACAATTGAACGAATGTGGTTTCAACTGCGATTGTTGTTTATATCATGATATGTCAGTTGGAGATGTATTGGACATGATGTATATAAATAGGGAGTCTCTCGTAAATATATATAAATATACATCGTTGACTAGCACTCATATACACTATATATATATGTAGATTTTACGATCAAATTGGTGGGTATTTACGTGCGTCCGACGTACAAGAATGAAACTGCAAACGAAAACAATACGCTGGTGACTCTGCCGTTTGTGCCGGAAAACTCGCTCCTGCTCGGCATTGCGGGTCTCATTGGGATCTCAATTCCGTTCATTTTGTGCGATTATGCCATGGGTACTTATCAAATATATATAATATATATATATTTATATATATTTGTAGGGTACTTTCAATCCAAGATGATTGCAAACGCCACTCAACGGCTGCAAAAAAATTTGCTGCGCATTTTACTGCACAAACCGACCAAGTTCTTTCAAGAACGCACGGACGGCGACTTGAACAATCTGTTTCAGTCGGATATTTCCCGCGTGAACGCCATGTGGCAAGCTGTGTTTTGGGTAACTATATATGTATATATATATATATATTTGATTTATATATATTTGATATAGAACCTGATGCAACCAATTGTATCGATCGTGATTGGGTTTGGGTACTTGATGTACTTTGAGCCAATCATTGGCATCATGTCATTTTCATTCTCGGCAATTATCGCGACGTCGGGGCCCCAGGGTCTGGCTGGAGACAAATCGCAGGACTTTGGCAAGAAGAGCGCGTACGTGTCGGCGGAATTCCAGAACGCTATTGCGTGTCAAAAGGTATATATATATTATATATATATTGTGGATTTGGTACAACTTTCCAGATCATGTCGAATAATGGAGTATCTCGCTGCCGAATCAATAATCACGAATTGATGCTATTGGCTAATCTAAATTTTG